TGGGGTTCCTGACAGCAGTGAGCCCCTGTTTTTAATGCTGACGCCCGGGGAACCCTGCAGCAGACAGTGGGCCAGACAGTGGGGTTGGACAGGAGCGAGAACACACGAGATACCGATCTTTTCATGGATCTTTCAAAACAGATAATAAAAGGGCTGACTTTTAGTTTATTCAGCATTAAGAGCTGCATTGTAGAGGCGTTTTCAGTTTAAGGATAATCGGTAATAATTTGTTTTCTGGCGGGTAAGGGTATGATCCTATTGTGATTTGCAAGATCAGAACATACATCACAGAGCAAATAAAAACCATGGAATTTATTAGAATTAAGATCCTCTAGTGACAGAATACACTGGAAAGGATGCTCACACCCATGTTCAACAGTGGTTTAGTGAGCATGTTGTTATAGGCTCTTTTTTTTTTTTTTTTTTTTTTTTTTTTGGTAACTTCAGGATATTTGAAGATAAATGCAGAGAGCACAGTCAGACACTAAAAACCGAGCTGGAAGAGAGATGTGACATCACGCAACTGCAAATGTAATCCCTAACCGGTGGCAAAACCTAGTTTATTTTTTTGGATCAAGATCACCATGAGACACCAAAAGGAATGGATATAAGATTCCCAACTCGGGGGGCTGATAGCTAATTCTCTGCTAATATAACCCATAACGACATTTTTTCGAAGAATGGGGTCGCAAGTGGCTTCATTTTCCCTGAGGTATGCTTTCCCTACAAACCCTTTTGTTATTTCACTGGCTCCACAGCTTCAGTTTGTGAAGGAGAAAGGCAGAGAGAGACTCGGGACCCAGATGGTCCCAAATGCCTCCGCACTGAGCAAGGCCCTCCGCTGCAGGCCCACTGACTCTGGATGTAATTTTTGCAATTTTAGCAAAATGTGCACTTTCTCTGGGGTCTGACATCATTATTCTACACGACATTGATGTCTTCATAAAACAAGTTGAAAAGTCAACGATTTTTTTTTTTCTAACACTGGTCCAACTGAGCGTTAAGAGCTGAAAAGAAGAAGCATCTAGTGGCAACCAAAAAGCTATGGAATTTTTTTAAACTTATTTTTTTAAAAGTGTTTTCACAGCAAAGATGCAACTCTCATTTGCTATACATACGCTGGTCATAAGCTGGCTTGCTTGTTCAGACTTCTTTCCCTTGTGTTATAATATTGGTATTTAATAGGAAAATAAACTACATAGACTTTTATCTGTATGCATCCATTTGCAAATTTCCTTACAAAAGAGGACAAAGCACATAGGCATTCACAAATTCTATGCCATTTCTGTTAAAATTGGTATCTATACATTATATTACAGTATTAACAATGTATGTTCTACCCATTGGGTAGGATATGTGCATAATATATTCAAGTTATATACAGCACCTTACAAATAAAAACGTAAGAAAAGACAAACAACTGAAGAAGCACCATTGTCAGTGAGGCACAACAAAGGTGGGAGCGCGGAGTGCGGCAGCGGCGGGGGCTCGGGTCCTACGCCTGCTAAACCCAGAACATGAGACAAGGCAGCTGCTTGAAATCTACTGACATGCAGAGCTCTCCGCAGGACATGGATCCGTGTACTATGCATGTATCATGTGGCGACAGTCTCTGTCTCGCGCTAAGCCCCACCACAGTCCGCTTAAACAAGCACACACCGAGGGGGAGGAAGGAAAAGGAGGAAAGGAAGACGGTGCTTTGCTTTCATAGCAAGGCATCCACTCACACACGACGGCTTCCGAATGCAGCCAACCCCGAAAGCAGCAGCAGCAGCAGCAGCAGCAGCAGCAGCAAACGGCTGTCTAACCCTGGCAGAAACGATAAACTTGAACTATGCAAAAGATGCAGCACTTTGGGTAGTAACATGGCCTAAGCGGAAATGTAGGGGATCCCCAGGCAGGACCGTGCTTCCCCTTCTCCATCCACCTCTCTGATCTCTGGCAGCTGGCAGCGCGGCCTCGGCCCCCTTTAAATCTGTAAAAGTGAGGTGAGCTGCAAAGCTGTGGCCTGGAGTGAAAGCAAAGTTCCTTGATCTGTGACTTGGGTGCGCCACGGTTAGATACAGTGCTCCTCACAGCGAGGAGGGGGACCTGCCAGCTGCCACCCAGTCCTGCTACTTTATCTAAATTTGAGGGTATTGGAGGTGAAGGTAAGCAGAGCGGGAGCCTGCGTCCCTGCTCTTCAACTGAGGTTGGGGATGCTGGCAGCAAGCAAGGCGGACTTGGGGGACTATGTCACCGTATGAAGACACAGTGCCAAACACTAGCATAGTTTTGCTTTTAGTCACTTAGACACAATCAGAAAGTTAACAAAAACCAAGTATCTTTCCCAGTTTCTTTCCATCATACACTGCGGAGCTTTCGAAGTTTTAAGAAAAACGAAATGCATAGCAACGAACATGCAGTGAATGTCGCCGTGCTAAGTAGCAGACCTCGAGAAGCAAGCACCCGTGCGCCAGACCAGCCAGGAGGCGGTTCGGAGCATGCAGCAGCCTGAGTGGCCAAGGATGGACGGACTTTCTCCTGAGGGGCAGGGGCTGGACGGGCATCTCCCTTTGCTATGGACCGGTATCTAAAGGCCATCGCACCAGGACTCTTCCTACAAAGGACTTCCTGGAGACAAGAGCCATTAGATGGAAGATGCAGGATCACCCCTGTCAGGATGCAACTACTGGTTGTGGGAGGAAGGCAGGGATGTGAATGGATTCTTCTATCTAGATAACAGAAGCTGTCTGAAAGTAGTTGCCGAAGATAAAGGTGAGGAAGATAAAGGTGGAGAAGATCAAATGGAGATATAAGAAGCTCCAGAAGCACTCATCTGTGTACCACGTTCCCCTGCGGGTGTTGGAAGGCCCCTCTTTCCTCGCCCAGGAGCTCAGTGGCTATCTGTGCACCCTCATGACCAATCTTTGTACGTTTTAAATATTCTTCCCCGCAATCTTGGAATTTCTTGCGGGTTGTGTGCCCGTGTGTATAGGTGATGGGGGAGGCCAGAGGATATGCTTGTCGAGCTTCTTTAACACGGAATTTGGGTTAGAAACACCAAGAATAGTTTAACATTTTAAATGCATAATTTGTTTAGCACAATCTCTTTGGGATTCGGGACTGCTTCGGTGTCTGAAGAACATGAGACTTTCTGAAAACACAGATACCTGCCTGAGGGCTGTGCTCCTGTCAATGGGACTCAGCATGTGCTGGGCTTCATGCTCCAGGCAGCCCTTGGGGCGGGCAAGCCACAGCAGGATGCTCAGAGTCCCCTTCCCACCAGCTGCTCTTCTGAACTTGCAAGCCTTTGTTTCAACTCTCTACCGAGGTAACCAACCCATCACTGATGGTCTCAATCACTGCTTTCTCAACGGGGTGCTCGGGCTCCGTAAGCACACAGGCTTCTCCCACCTTAGGCCCCACTGTGCAGGCTGCACCTTCCTCACTCCTCTTTCCACGCCAGGCCAGCGAGGAGCGACAGGTCAGCCACCACCTTCAAAAGAGCTACTGATCTAAATCACCTTTTCCCTGCGCCAAAGGGAAAGTGACTATTAATTAAGTTTATGACCTTGGCTTTTAAACTAATTCATTATGGAGGCCCAGCCTCAAGACCATTCACGTTCATGGTTTCAAATGTCTCTGTCTTTAAATAGCTATTTAACTTAAAGGACAATTCTCTAGAGTGGCTGAATGGGAGGAACCTCGCTTTTGAAGGACGATGACATTTATGTGAATTCAATATTTGTTTTGCCAATACTGTGGACACCGATAAAAACATTCACATACTTGCAAGATAACTAAGAATCGACAAGTTTCTGACTACAGCTCATTCTTGCAGCAGGTAGGAAAGTGAAGGACTGCAAAACCATGTTGAGCTAGAGTTACAGGGTGGGTTCACCTGCTTTACCAAAATTGCAGGCGAGGTTTGGAATGATGATATCATTAGCTGACCTTGTCATCTTTCATCTGAGGGGACACCTGACCAATAATTTACCCAGCACCTCCACCAGGGGTCCTGACAGGCACAAGTGCTTCCTAACCTTCACCTGACAGGGTGAGACAAGGCTCCATGCCACAAAGAGTGCCAGCTTCCCTCCAGCACAGGCCTGGGATCCAGGCAGTGAGCTGACCGGGTAGGGGGGCCCCCCGGGGCTCTGCCCAGTCTTGGAATTCCCACTGCGGCTCTTAGCACGCACACGTCCCAACAGAGTCTGTTTATTCTCTCTTTCTAAGAGTTTGGCTAGTTCTGTGGCTGTTACTGGGTGAAATGAATCAATTTAATGAAGAGTCCAATCCTCAAAGCAAAACAAAAACCTGCAGCAGAAAGGAGCAGAAGGCAGGGGACAGGACTTGTAGCTCAGAACAGTCTCTCCAGCTCTCGGCCGACAGCACCAAGTCACCTCACTGACAGATCGTCTGAGACCCACAGACAGACTCAAGCGCGTGTGTTATTCAGCATCCAAACGGCAGCGATCAGTCACTGGGTCATCCTTCCAATCCATCTTGTTACATGCAGAGGCCAAGGGGACTGACCCACGCAGAGCAGGCGGCGGTGTGGCATTGGTTGAACTTGTTGGCTGGTGCTATTATAAAAGCCAGATGCTTTCTTCCCCAAAAGAAAGCTGTTTCTTTTACGTAAGAACACCTTTTGTAAATATCAGGAATATTAAAACTAAAACTAACAATATTTAAAATTAGTTTCTAGTTGCATTTTAACTGCATGTTGTGCTTTTAATCCTGTGCTCTTGGAGTCGCCCGCCTGCCCTGCCCTGCTGTGGAACTGACCGTCCAGTTCTGGCCACACTGCAAAGGCTGCACGAACTCCCGCGGGAGTGTAGGCTGTGAGCACAGCATTCCCCCGAGAATGCTGCGCCCATTTAGTGACGGGCAATGGCTTGTTATCATGCTCAGCAATGTGGTGTCCTCTGTCCATTCCAGGAGTTTCCAATGAAGAAGTCACTACCAGCATCGCTCACACGCCGAGGCCGGCGGGCTCCATGCGGAGCAACCGCTGAGAGCCCCTTGGGCACTGACCAGCTGTCCAGGACTGAACTGAACTGTCTAGAAAAGGAGGCTGACAACGGGAATACACTGAGAAGTCACAAATCTCAACAGTATTCAAAATAATCACCTTGCATTTTAAACAATTTATTGCATAAAATTATGTATGAGTCTACTTCATGCTACAGTGAAAAAAAACAAACCTAAGTTACTGAAGAACTGCACTGCTGGAGGGCGAGGGCACTGCGATACTGGATGGTCAATGCATGTGTCGGTCACGTTTAACAGAACAGGTGGCCTAGGCTAGCAGAGTAACTCAGCAAGTCCCAAGTGCTGGACCTTCGCGTTCCTATCTTACACCCAAAGGCCTCCATGCTTCAGACGCCCTGCTCTCTGCTGCAGACTCTCACAGCAGTAACGACCTTCTTGATGTACACAAGTCGGCATGTTAGGCTACGCCCCTAAACATCTTTTCTGGCATGATTACGGGAAGCACTCCAGGGCATTCCTTAGGCCTAATCATAATCCACAGGTGAAGAGACAACATACAGAACATCACATAAAACAGTTCCCTCATATATATTTTCAACATTAAGATAGTGCAACTTTTAAAAACACATCATCATAACAACACAAATCAACTCCTTGCATTCATCGAGCTTCCCCACTTTATACCTTGGCACACAAAAACAGGAATTTTGAATCATATTTTTAAAACAAAATAAAAGTTCCACACCTTGGGAGAAAAAGCAAACTGGCCAATTCTTCCCCATGATAATATATAATAATGCTTCCTTCTTTATTTAGTTAATTATAAATTTAAGGCCATTCTGGCCTCTTTCTCTGCAGTCTCCTTTCATAATTAAATAAATCAAATACCTCTGTGTTTTATTTCATGATATAGTCAAAGCACCCCTTTCTCTGTTCCCATGCCCACCCTTTGCCAAAACCACCCCCCTCCCGACGCCTGCCCCAGAATAAACACTGTTGACGGTCAGACCGGATGGAAGTTTGTATTGTTTCAGTCTGGTTTGCATGCAATTCCCCTGAAAGGAATCAGAAACAAAGACCACATTTGCATATTTGGTTTTACTTAGTTGTCGCACGTAAAACTGAACAACACTGTGCCCGGGAGCGGAGGAGCTGAGCAGTCCTCCTCCGTCCTCGGTTTCTTCTTCTCCACTCAAGCGCATGCTGGAGGATCAGACGAGATTCCCAGGCTTCCTGTCCTTGCCCTGGATGGGCACCACCGTGCTCCCCGCGCTGTCGTGCTGAAGTGGCAGTCTGCCCCCTCTGTGCGTGTTGCTGTGCTGGTGATGGAAGAAAGAGGCTCCTGGGTAGTGGCCCATCACCTCGCTGTAGGTCGGGGGTGGCCCCTCCATCCTCCCGTTACTGCTGCAGGTGCTGGCACTTATGCCCGAATTGCTGCTGGGCGGGCATGGGCCCCCGTTGTACACAGAGATGTCTATCAAATCGCTGTCGAATATGGTCCGGTTGGGCGGGGCCCTCACAGATTCTCGGTTGAGTTCCATCTGCTGTTCGGGGTCCCTGAGCTGCAAGGTGCAGGGCCCCTGGTAAGGAGGCGGCTCCTCCCCGTCAGACAGGGAGATGGTGGGGGGAAGGTCAATCTCGTGCTGCACGTAGGGGTAGGTGGGCTGAAAGCGGCTGAACCGGTCCCTCTGGATAAAGGATGGGGCAGTGAACCTGTCCCGAGACCGCGGGGCATACATGATCTGCCAGGAAAAGAGCAAAGGCTTGAAGACATTCTTGGCTCAATAATGATCACAAACACGACGCTATAAGAACAGCCCCACTTGGTCTGTGTTCTCAACCGTCTGAAACATTACCCCCTCCAACAAAACAGGGAGAGATTACCCCAGAAAAAATGTAGTTGTATTATTCCTCATGAGTTAGATCCCTCACCTTGCCAAACTATAGTTTATCCAAGACGATTCAACAACGGACAATGCGGTTAACTGAAAATTTGGGTTTAATGGGAATTACTGCATATGCTACGTATGTGTTTCCCACTGGGCCAAGTGTGAGTGTGTGTGTGTGTATATATCCACCCATTGACTTCTCCCACATCATATTTTTAAATTAAAGGCAAAAAAACTATGTTAGTTTTACGTCATTCTATTAAACTTGGAGATGTGGAAATGAATCATGCTGTATTTATAAACTATGCCCACTTCTGCAGAGTCTCATTGTTTGCAGCTTATGGGATCACGTAAAGATCAGTGATTCTCAACCTGTTTTCTGTAGGGAGCTCTAGACTAGCACAAATAATCCCTAGGAGACTCTAAAAGTCCCCTCCCCCACGTTAAAAACCAAAGTTACAGGCATATGCCTTAATTTAAATGTTATTTCCTAATCTACACTGTCATACATTTGACTTTTCCACCTATTTTGTTGTAATGGCATATTTCCCCCCTCCCCTCTCCCATCACATCGGGCTGAGCAGCCATCTCCAGCCACCCACATCCCTCCCTTGTCCAACCCCTTACCTCCGAGGCACCAGGCTGAGGACCAGAGCTGTCTGTAGGCCACAGGCGCCCTTCCTGGCAGGGGGTGGGAGGGGGACATCACAAGAAAATCATTAGTTTCATGCTGCAGCACCTAAAATCAAGGAACCACATTCCTCTTGGACAATGGCAGACCTGTTTAAGTCACAGAACAACAAAGAACTGGTCCTTTTATTACACCGAAATTATTACACAAAACAGTCTCCTTATTACACAAAAGGAGAATCGTGGCCAAAAGGAAAGTTAGAATGTACGTGTTTGACATATACTCCAAATGTCATCAAACCGTATTCAGTCACTGCCTAGATTTGGGTAGAGTCTGGGTCTTTAAGCTCATTTGTTTGTTTGTTTTAATTCTCACCAGAGAATATTTTTTCCATTGATTTTTTTAGAGAGAGTAGAAGGGAGGAAGGGGGAGAAGAGAGAAAGAGAGAAACATCAATGTGAGAGAGACACATCAACTGGTTGCCTCCCACACTTGCCCCAACCGGGGCCGAGGAAAGATCCTGCAACCCAGGTATGTGCCCCTGACTGGGAATCGAACCCGTAACCCTTCAGTGCTCAGGCAGACACTCTAACCACTGAGCACACCGGCCAGGGTTGGGTGCTTAAGCCCTTATGCAGGTGTGCATGGCCACAGCCGGCATGCCAGCCAAGGCCCTGCGGAACTGGGCTTTGAGGTAAGCAGCAGCACAGCTAAAGCACCGCCTGCCACACTGTGCTTTCACACTGAAAACAGAGATTCCAAAGCCTGGCTGGCCTTCAAGGGTCTAGCCAATTTATTCTTCAGTCCCTTTATTCCCAAGGCAGATGTAACTTGACATCTAGCTGTTTAACATCTTTTTTCAAATATGTTTGACCAGACTGTCAAGGTGACAAGCTTTTCTAACACCATAAACTTGTTTACAAAGCACTTCAATATGTTTTCCCTTTTGAACCCAAATTGTTGGCAAAGGTCTGTTGGGCTACTCTAAAGGCCTGTTATTGTCATAAAGAGAAGAACATGGGTGAGCAGGAGCAGATGTCTGCATTTTTGGATTCCCAGGAATATTCATACATGACCTTGTGCCATCACTGAGCCTCCTGAGAACCTGAAAGCACCCACAAGTAGACCTGCAAGGTGAGACACCCCTAAGTCTCTCTTTTGTATTTTGTAGGCCAGCATTCTAATACAAACACCCCATCTGAACAACAGGGTGTTTAAAAACCAAATACATACAACCTGATCCTACGGTCCTTGCAGAACACCATGGACTCAGCAGCAAAAATAGGAACAGACCAGCAGTGTTTAGAGGAAGTTTGGGCTTAAGGTGTGACTATAAAATTATGTAGTGGGCAATCATGGCTCTGGCCTGGCGAAAGGTGACAGATCTCATCAAATCTAAGGAAGTGGCTGAGCCACACCCACGGACAGCCCTGCACCAGGCCAAGGCAGCTTGCAGAGCACGCCAGAGCCTGGGCTCCTCTGCACCAAGAGGAACAATCACTGTAGTTCTGGGCTGTTACAGCAATTCTCGTATTGAAAACAACATACAAACACATCCTGGGATGTTTCTAAGACTCTGCCCTAGTTCCTCAATGAACACTCAATCTTACGTTTCACCCAAATCACATCGATTATTAAATCCATTCAGCACTTTTTGGCCCTCCTCTCCCCTGGCTCCCAGCAGCACAGGACCTTCTCTTGTTGGCTCAGAGACATCACCCCTCCTGGTTCACACCCTGACTTCTCTGGCCACTTTCCTGCTCTTTGGGGGGTGCCCCTAACTCTTCATTCTGGTTGAATGTTGGAGTTCCTGAGAGTCCTATCTGGGGCCCCTCTCCTCTCAGCACAGTCTCCCTAGGCCACCTCATTCCCTCCACAGCTTACGGGACCGTCCATATGTGGTGTCCACATTTGGGCTATTGTGAGTAATGCTGCTGTGAAGAAGGGTATACGAATCTCTCTTTGAATACCTGCTTTTCATCCTTGTGGATATATACACAGAAGCAGAATTGCTGGATCATGTGATAATTTATGTTTAATTTTCTGAGGAGCCACCATACTGTTTTTCAATAGTGGCAGATCCATTTTACATCCCGACCAGCGATGCACAGGGTTCCAATTTCTTCACATCTTTGCCAGCACTTCTTATTTTCTGTTTCTTTAATAATAGCCATCCCAGTGGGTATCTCATTATGGGTTTAAGTTGTGTATGATTAGTGCATTAAGTCAGGGTTCTCCAGAGAAACAGAACCAATAGGGTGTGTGTGTGTGTGTGTGTGTGTGTGTGTGTGTGTGTGTGTGTATAATATATAATAGGAGCTGGCTCATGTGGTTATGGAGTCCCACAATCTGCTAGGTGCAAGATGGAGAGCCAGGAAAGCTGGTGGTATAGTTCAATCTGAGTCTGAAGGCCTGAAGGCCACTGGTGTAAGTCTTAAGGACCAAGAACCAGGAGCTCCAATAGCAGAGGGCAAGAGAATAGAATGTCCCAGCTCAAGAAGAGAGATTTGCCTGCCTCCACCTTTTTGTTCTATTCAGGTCTTTGGGGAATTGGAAGATGCCATCCACACTGGTGGGAACAGATTTTCTTCATTCAGTCTACTGAGTGAACGTTAATCTCTTCTGGAATTATTCTCCTAGAGACATCAGAAATAATGTTTTATCAGCCATCTGGGCATCGCTAAGCCCACTTGTGTTGGCACGTAAAATTCGTCATCATAATTAGTGATATTGAGCTCTTTTCAGGTGGCTTTGTATATCGTCTTTGTAAAAATGTCTATTCAAGTCCTTTGTCTATTTCGAAATTGGGTGGTCCATTATTTTGCTGTTGAGTTTTAGGAGTTCTTTATATATTCTGAATATTAACCCCAATCAGATATATGATTTGCTAATATTTTCTCCCGTTCTCCCAGTGGCCTTTCACTCTCTTGATAGAGTCCTTTGACAAACCAATGTTTTTAATTTCTAAAGGTCAGTTTATTATTTTCGTTTTGTTGCCTGTGCTTTTGGTGTCATATCCAAGAAATCATTGCCAAATCCAATGTCATGAGTTTTTCCCCACTACTCTCTTTAAGAGTTTTAACTCTTACATTTAGGTTTTAGATCCATATTGAGTTCATTTTTTGAATATGGTGTAAGATATGGTTCCAGTGTCATTATTTTGCATGTGGATATCCAGTTTTCCCAGCACCATTTTCGAAAATACTGTCTTTTCTCCTTGAGTAGTCTTGGCCCCCTTGTCAAAAATCATTTGACCATATATGAGAAAGTTTATTGCTGAGCTCTCTCTTCTATCCCATTGTCTCTCTTTATGCCAATACTGTACTGTTTTTGTTATTGTAGCTTTGTAGTAAGTTTTGAAATTAGAAAGTGTGAAATGTCCAACTTTGTTATTCTTTTTCAATATTATTTTGGCTATTTTGGGATGGTGCTTCCTTGAGGTAGCACATGCATTTTAGGATGGACTTTTCTATTTCTGAAAGAAACATCATTGAGATTTTGATAGGGATTGCACTAAATCTGTGGATTGCTTTATGTAGTACTGACGTCTTAACAATATCAGGCTTTTTAATCCATGAATAGGTGGTCCATTTATTTGTATCTAATTTCTATCAGCAACATTGTACAATCATCAATATAATCTTTTACCCCCTTGGTTAAGTTTATTCCTAAGTATTTTTTTATGCCATTATACATTGGATTTTTTAAAATTTCCATTTTGACTGTTCATTGTTAGTGTAAAGAAATGCAACTGACTTTTGCATGTTAATTCTGTATCCTGCAACTTTGTTAAATTTGTTTATTAGTTCTAGCAGGTGTTCTTTGTTTGTTGGACTCTAGGGTTTCCTACATGTAAGGTCATGTTACCTGTTTATAGGATAATTTTTACTTTTTCCTTTATAGTTGGAATGCCTTTTATTTCTTTTTCTTGCCTAATTGCTCTGGCTAAAACTTCCAATAAATACTATGCTGAAAAGAAGTGGTAAAAGCATGCATCCTTGTCTTGTTCCTGATCTTAGAGAAACAGCTTTCAGTCCTTCACCATTGAGTACAATGTGAATTGTGGGCTTTCCATAGAGGATCTTTATTATGTTGAGGTAATTTCGTTCCATCCTAGTTTGAGGAATGTTTTTATCGTGAAAAAGGATTGTATTATGTCAAATATTTTTTTCTGCATGATGTGGTGATCATGTAGTCCCCCCCTTCATTCTGTTAATGTGGTGTATTACACTTATTTTTATATGTAAAACCATCCTTGCATTACAAAAATAAACCCCATTTAGTCATGGTGTATAATCTTTTTAGTATGTTACCAAATTCAGCCTGCTAGTATTTTGTTGAGGATTTTTGCATCAATATTCATGAGGGATAATGGTTTTCTTTTCCTGTTGTGTTTTTGTCTGGCTTTGGTATTAGGGTAACGCTAATTCACTAGAGTTTGAAAGTATTGGTGTCAATTCTTCTTCAGATGTTTAGTACAATTCACCAGTGAAGCCATCTGGTTATTTGTTGGTAGGCTTTTGATTACTAATTCAATCTCCTTAAGAGTTACAGATCTATTCAGATGTTCTATTTCTTCATGATTCAGTCTTAGTAGGGTGTGTTTCTAGGAATCTGTCCATTTCATCTAGGTTATTCAATTTGTTGATATACAATTGTCCAGAGCACTCTTATAATCTTTTTTATTTCTAGACTAGAGGCCCAGTGCATGAAATTCATGCACTGGGTGGGGGGTGTCCCTCAGCCCGGCCTGCACCCTCTCACAGTCGGGTCCCCTCACTCCTTACCGCCCGCATGCTCGCTGCTCCTTACTGCTCGGCTCACTGCTCCTTAGCGCTGCTGCGGAGGTGGGAGAGGCTCCCACCACTGCTGCTGCGCTCACCAGCTGTGAGCCCGGCTTCTGGCTGAGCAGCACTCCCTCTGTGGGAGCGCACTGACCACCAGGGGGCAGCTCCTATGTTGAGCGTCTGCCCCCTGGTGGTCAGTGCTCATCATAGCGACCACTCCCACAGCCTGAACCTTCTTGGTTTTATGCTCTCAGCTAAACTCT